TTTTGTAGAACATTTAGATGATTGTATCATATGAATCAAAAAAAAAATAATGAAAAAGATTTGCACTTGAGATGTGATGGAATTCTTTGAGAAGGTACTTATTTTTCGTTTTCTTTCCCTGTGAGGAGGGAAAGAGGGGGAGAGGCGAGGAGAAATTGCAATCTCTTTTGTTTCATAGTTTTAAAGTCCATGGAATGCTTTTTTTTGAGGAAAAAAGAAACTAGAATCGGACGGGAAGTTATGCAGTTACGCACAAATAGGATAGCAATGATATAAGGAAATTGTAATGTTTTTGAAAGTCAATGTGCGTAATACTCAAGTTGCCCTTAGTACACACTTTTAGTTGAGGGAGTGTATCAGGGAGAAAGGATACGAGGTAGACAGAGAGAGAGAGAGAGAGAGAGAGAGAGAAGAATAAGAAATGAAAAAAAGAAAAATAAAAGGAATAGAAAATAAGCGATTACATGTAGTCTATAATTTTACATTCATTTCAATTTCCTATACTCATCGAAGATGTACACCGGCTAGTAGTTATATCATATCGAAAGGTATCCTGTCTTTAACAATCGAACAATATTTATCACATTTTGATTATTGGTAAGTGTCTACGTTTATGATAATAATAAGGCTTGTATTTAATTGTTCAGTATTTTATTATGAATGTACAGTAAATATTTTATCAGACGTTCAGTACTTCTTGTTCAGTAAAAAAATAATTTTTGTTTAGTAAATAATTCATGAAGTTCAGTAAATTTAACTCTTGTTCTTAATTCATCCCTTCCCGACTCGTTCCTAATTAACCAGTTCTATATTACTTAACTGTTTCTTCTTGTGTTTTGTTCATGGAGAATAGCAAGTTTAAGGTCAATTTAATCGTAAATCTTTTTTTCGTCTTCTTAGTTGAACTTGACTCTCTTCAGTAGCATGATGCTGGTACTCATGTTCCATGCGTAATATATCTATAAATTGATAAATATGAAGGTGTATCGGAAATTCTGCTTTCATTCGTCTACTATAATTCTCCACATGGGTTATTTGTTCGAAGACGATATAAGAATCACAATCTCCAATCGGAGACGAACATAAGCAATCGTTCAGAATTATCTAAAAAGACGACTGTGTAGAAAACATAAACTACAAGTAAGACGGACTTACAAGATTGATCAACGAGGAGAAAACGTTGTCCGTGTTTTTGGTCAATTTCCATTCTTCAACTAGAGATAAGTCAACCAAGCACTTCGGCAGTATCGGATATATATATATATATATATTTTTTTTTTTCATCGATACCGATATAAGCTTGCATCGACGCTGGATAATGATGGAAAAATAAGACCAGTTTCCATACCTGGATTTTTGAGGTCTTGTCTTTACCAACTTCTTGAGAATATATATATGTTTGTAATTGAACTTGTTTCTTCTTGTGCGTGCCGTTTCATACGACCAACAGAGTCTTGCATAATAATTATTGAATCAGAAATAGGTGTGCATGTATGAAAACTAGGTTCTCAAAGTACTTTTGGACATTTTCGATTACGGCATCGCAATTCTTGTGATGACTTATTGAAAGATAGGCATGCTAGACGTTGAGTAATAGTATAAACAACGATGATCACGCCATGTGTGCAAGAGCTGGCTATTGGAAAATAATATGTTCATTAAGGGTCAACGGCGAATGTTGATCAAAGTTAATCCTAATTAAGACTTTTCAATCACATATAAATTGATTGACAGTTAGGAACAGATTGAGATGGGACGAATTGAGAATTAATTAAGAATGACCTATTTATGCAAGGGACGAATTCATTTCGAAGTTCTAGTGCACTCTTGAAAAATCAATAGATGAATATCTTGGCCGAGATTAAGTTTTATGTAAACCTTTTTTCGAAAAAGAAATAGAAAAAGTCTTTTCACATATGGGTCGATGCGTGTTCATTTTATAGGAAACTGTAATGAGACGAAGAACTCGAAATCGGAGCTGTGGTTTCATACAAAAATCTATTGATTGCCTATGAGTCAGAAGGAAAGAGTGTTAAATCGAAAACTTAATTTTAAAGTTAAATGTTAAGTGAAAAACTTTATTAAGTTCATTAATTATGTTTCGTTAAAAAAACAAAATGTCCCACTCCTCTCCTATATGCTTCACAAGGACCATATGCAATTCAATTTGATAATCTATCTTGTCATACTTGATTATCTATCATTATCCGCATGAATGCTTGTTTATTATAAGCACGATGTAAAAAGAAAAAAGAAAAAAGAAAAACAAAATTAGAAACAATAACATGCCCGATTAAATAGCACAATGAACAAACAAGAAAAGCTCAAAAAGCTCAAAAAAAAACAAACAAATTAAAAGCAAATATTCTGACAAGTTATACTCGACAGTGGACGACTACTAATCAGATAAATCCATATCATCATCGATACATATAATTGAAGCCTTATCATCATCATCATCGTCGGAATCACTACTTAAAATAATGACCGAATCTGTATCATTCTCATCCGATTCATTATCATCAACAGTTGACGCGATATTATCACGATCATTACCATTGGCATTATTTACCGACTGACGCACCAATATGTTTCCATTGGCATCCGTGCGAAGCACAATGTCATCAGAGTTAATCATGATCATAGATCCGTCCGATATAACTACAATAATCAATCCTGTAAGTGATGTACGTATAACAGCAGCTGGAAATACTAGACTGCTACCAACACGTGCAATTATTGGATCTTGTGAATTCATCTACAATAAAGTCTAAAAGAAACATAGTACTGTTCTCTCTCTCTCTCTCTCTCTCTCTCTCTCGCGCTTCATATAAACAAATCAATTTATACGTATGCATTAATATTTCAAGTACTGTTCAAGAACTACACAGCATTTCGTTTACATAAAATCAAATCATTGAACGACATATGCAAAGATCTTCTGTAAATTCCAAGAACATGATTCCATATATAAACAAAAGCAAGGACATTTTGAAAAAGATCTTCAATGGCATCCAATAATATGATTCTATCCATTAAAACAATGACCTCACTTATCTTTGATAAGTTATTCAACTTCTCATCTAGTGATCTTCTATTACTTGCAATGATATGATTCAATGCATGCAAGCTATGATCTCATGTTACGTTGAAGTGTTGTTCAGCATCTAATTAACGATACATGAGATCGGTGGAGGACATTTGAAATAGTCAACTTTGTAATTGAACTAAGTGAATGGAATCTTAATGTTTGTTGTGAAAAATTTTTCTTTTCTTATGCTATTTTGTAGGGGATCATCTGTTACCGATGTGAACTACAAGGCATTGCAACTATGAAAACATTTAAGTGAGCCTATAGAATTTTGTTTTTTTTTTTTTTTTTTTTTTTGTTCTTGAAAAAAAAACAATAGACTGATTAATGATCACGTTCAATTTATTCATCAAATGTACTGATAAAATCCTGTTCCGTCTGTTCGAGTGCTGTTATCATGCGCCACTGCAAAAAGTAACTTGCTTTATGTCGACGAATTTCGAGGTCACGTGCATCATGGCCGAATCGAGATGTGTGCTTCGATATGATGTTGTTGACATGTTGTTGAAATGTGCGATGATCCATAATCTTTGGAGAAGATTTAACCTTATGTTCGTTCGAATCTTCGAACGACGAGCAAGAACGAAATCGTTTAGCATACGAGTTCGATGTTGTTTTAGTCCGAATGTCCGGACTCTTAGTTGTTCTTTTCATATTTTTTAATAACTTGATTGAACTTGTTGTATTACAATCGGTCTCAGGAACAGAATTTTCATGTTCCCTATTATGTTTACGATTTTGAACACCTGGTGGATTTATGACCACGA